GATCCGCCGCAGGGGATTCAGGATATATCTATAAAGACAGATATATAACACCAATGCAGATGTATGGTTGTTCGGACCTTTGCGAGTGAGCATTGTGCGAGTAGCAGAACGCGCTCGGCGATCAAAGAGAGTTCCTCGAAGGCTTCCCAGACCTGCTTCCTTGCATGGGCCTTGGATTCCCCGGTCTTGCTCGTCGCCTTCCCTCCTCGGGTTTCCCCCGGTCGTGTTCCTCGGGCTCCCCGGTCCTATTCCTCTCTTTGACTTTCTTCCAGTTCCCCGGTTTTGGTCCCTGCTTGGGTGCTTCGGGTTCCCTGGTTTTGTCCTCGGGTTTTCTCCAGGTTGCTTGCTCTTGATTTTTGTTTGGTTTCCTCGGGTTCCCTGGACTTGTTCCTCGAAATCCTTGGCATGACAAGACAACGCCAAGCAACGCCAAGCGATGCAAACCATGCAAAGGACTGCCACGCAATGTCAACCAGCGCTTATCAATGCCAAGCGACGCAAAACAAAGCCAAGCAACGCCAAGCAATATGCCAAGCAATGTAACGCAACGCAAAGCAACGCCAAGAAATGCGCCCATGCAGTCTACTGGCGTTACAAAGCTAGTGAAGATATGTGAGAATGTCAGAAAGAGCACTCTCTGGCCGCAAACGAGGGGGTGGGGGGGGGGGTTCGGGAACCGGCTCCACCCCCCTTTCGGAAAAGGGAGGGGAGGGTGCAACCCCTCCCCTCCCCCCCTCCCCCGAGCCCTCCCGGGGGGTTTTGACCCCCCCTCCCAACCGCCGGCAGCCGCCGACGACGACGACGTCGGGGACCTGCTGACCCGGGTCAATCCAGACCCGGGTCAGTCAGGCCTTGCAGAGTCCTGCAAGATCCTGCAAAATCCTGCACCCAAACCCGGGTCAATGCGAAGGATCCTGCAAGATCCTGCAGGATCCTGCACCCAAACCCGGGTCAATGCGACCCTGGCCCTGCAGGATCCTGCAAGGTCGGGGCGCTCTGGCTGACCCCCGTTTGCACTGACCCCCGTCTCGAGGCTCCCGACGACGACGACAACGATCACGACGACGACGACGACGACGACGACGACGACGACGACGACGACGACGACGACGACACATCACATTCTTGCGCAAGAGGGTGGGGTTCGAACCCCCCCCTCCTGGGCCCTCCCGCGGGGGTTCGAACCCCCTCCCCCTCCTACCCCTCCCCTCCATAGCCGCCGGCAGCCGCCGACGACGACGACGACGCCGACGACGACGACGACGACGACGACACATTCCTGCACCAGGGGGGGGGGTTCGAACTCCGCCCCCCTCCCCAGGCCCCGGGGGGTTTCGAACACCCCCCCTACCCGCCGCTGGCAAACGACGACGACGACGTCGACGACGACGACGACGACGGCGACGACGACGACGACGACGACGACGTCGCAGATCTGCGCCGGCGCCCGTCCACCCGCGTTGGAGAAGGAGGAGGAAGAGGAGCGGGGGAGGAGGAGACACAGCAACGGGAGGGACGGAGGTCCAGGGGTGGGAACGGCAGTGGACGAGAAAACGCGAAGAGGAGGGGGAGGAGAAGGAGAAAGAAAACGAGGAGGAGGAGGAGGAGAAAAAGAAGGAGGAGGAGGAGGAAGAGGAGGAGGAGGAGGAGGAGGAGGAGAGAGGAGAGAGGAGGCAGACTGCATACGCCTCAGACTTTCGTGTCCGCCCGCCCGACCCGACCCGACCCGCCCGATAGGGTCCGCCCGCGCGACCCGCCCGATAGGGTCCGCCCGTCCCGACCCGCCCGTTAGGGTTCTCCAGTGTAATGCTGTAAACGCATCAGACTTTAGTGTTTCCCCCACACGACCCGACCCGCCCGATGGGGTCCGCCCGCCCGACCCGGCCGATAAATTCCGCCCGTCCCGCCCGCCAGGGTTCTCATGCGTCATGCTGTATACGCATCAGACTTTAATGTCCCGCCCGCCCGACCCGACCGCCCGATAGGGGTCCGCCCGTCCCGACCCGCCCCTTGGGGTTTTCATGTGTCATGCTGTATACGCATTAGACTTTAGTGTTTCGCCCGCCAGACCCGACCCGCCCGAGTGGGTCCGCCCGCCCGACCCGCCAGATAGGGTCCGCCCGTCCCGACCCGCCCGATCGGGTTCCCATGTGTCATGCTGTATACGCATCAGACTATAGTGTTTCGCCCGCGCGACCCGACCCGCTCGTTAGGGTCCGCCCGCCCGGCCCGCCTGATAGGGACCGCCCGCCCCGACCCGCCCGTTGGGGTTGTCATGTGGTATGTCGTATACGCATCAGACTGTTTTTCCTGCCCGCCCGACCCCACCCGTCCGATAGGGGTCCGCCCTTCCCGACCCGCCCGATCGGGTTCTCATGTGCCATGCTGTATACGCATCAGACTCTAGTGTCCCGCCCGCCCGACCCGACCCGCCCGAGTGGGTCCGCCCGCCCGACCCGTCCGATAAAGTCCACCCGTCGTCGTCGTCGACGTCGTCGTCGTCGTTGGCTTCGTCGTCGTCGTCGTCTTCGTCGTCGTCGTTGTGTCGTCGTGTCGTCGTCGCGTCGTCGTCGTCGTGGTTGTCTTCGTCGTCTTCGTCGTCGTCGTCATCGTCGGCTTCGTCGTCGTCGTCGTGGTCGTTGTGTCGTCGTGTCGTCGTCGTCGTCGTTGTCGTTGTGTCGTCGTCGTCGTCGTCGTCGTCGGCGGCTGCCGGCGGCTATGGAGGGGGGGTAGGGGGGGAGGGGGTTTGAAACCCCGCGGGAGGGCCCAGGAGGGGGGGGTTCGAACCCCCCCCTTTGCGCAAGAATGTGATGTGTGTCGTCGTCGTCGTCGTCGTCGTCGTCGTCGTCGTCGGCGTTTGCCGGCGGCGGCGGCGGCGGGCGGCTGCAGCGGCGCGACGGGGGGGGGTTCGAACCCCCCCCCGGGAGGCCTGGGGAGGGGAGGGGGGGTTCGAACCCCCCCCGCTTGGCGCAAGAATTTGTCGTCGTCGTTGTCGTCGTCGTCATCGGCGGCGGCGGCGGCGGCTGCGGCGAGTAGGGGGGGGGGGGGCGGGGGGGTTCGAAACCCCCCCCTGGGGAGGGGGGGGGGTCGAAACCGCCCTGGGGGGCCCCCGGGGGAGGGCGGGTGGGGGGGTTCGGACCTTCCGGTTCTTTTGGGGGTTGGGCGGGGTTGTGCGGGGGGGGATTCGGATGGGGAGGGTCCCCGGTTTCCGACCCCTCCTCAGGGATTTGTTTCCGGGGGGGGGCCCGGTTTTTTTACCCCCCCTCAGGGATTTGTTTCAGCATAGCCGCAGTGGATCGCGCTCCCTCGACTGTCAAGGTGATTTGGTTTCGTCCGTTACTTCCGCTTGAGCGGGCGGGCGGAGGTTGATGTTCCGACCGCTCCGAGCTGGCCCCTCTTCCACAATCAGGGAATTCATCAATTATATTAAATGATAAGACTGCATGTTGGAATGCGAGCGTACAAACACACGGTTTTAGAAATCCCGCGACAAGATTTCCCCCTTGCCAATAAAAATGATCGCACTTTGTCACGAAGCTTTCGGTGCGCCGATGAGGGATCCACCCGCGATGGCGACACATCATCGTCGTTCCTTGTCGCCGCGTCGTATTCAGCGCCGCCCATTATCCGCCATGGTCGCGCTCCCGTCCGTGCACCGACCCTCTACGTGCACCGCTACGGCCGCGGCCTCCGGCCCAGAACCACCTTCTTGGCCGCGGCCCGCCCAGCTGGATAGACGAGGTCTCGCCTGCAACGCCGGATAAACAAGGGCTTGATGCTCACCGCGCGGTGCCTAAAATGCTGCTACCGTGTTCCTGAAGTTCCTTGCGTTTTATAAGAGTATCGAGATGAATGGGTTTCGTCCGTGATGTCCGCGTGAGTGGGCGGGCGGAGGCTGACCCCTTGTTCCGATCGCAGCGAGCTGGCCCTCTTTTCCCTCCCGAATCCTGGCGGGTTGAGTCGAGAGGAGTGGGATCAAAGATCCCGTCTCGCCCAATAGCGTAATTTTGTATATCCAACGCGGTGCATTCTGGAATCCCAGCGTAAGCCCACACGGAATTGAAAATCACACCGGGCGGGATCTTGCCCTTGCCTTCGCAAGATGGTCGTTCGTTACTTTGCTGCGAAAGTTCCAGAACGCCGATGTACGACACTTTCCCTCATCGGGGTCGCGCCAGGTTCATGTGTGGCCCATTCCTGAGGAGCGTGCGGCGTCGCCATCGGTGACCAACTGTCTTTATTATTTATCGGCGATAGGGGGCCCTGGCGCCCAAAACGAATCCTTCTTCTCGCAGGGTTGTCAGTCCAAAACCCGCCGCGGGCCCTTGCCTGGTTTCCCGAATGGAAGGCGAGGACGAGGGGGAACACGAAGGAGGCAGATGATGATGTTGATAATGATGATGATGATGATGATGATGATGATGATGATGATGATGATGATGATGATGATGATGATGAGAGGAGGAGGAGGAGGAGGAGGAGGAGGAGGAGGAGGAGGAGGTGTTGGAGGAGGATGATGTTGATGGTGATCGAACTGGTGATGGTTATGGTGTTGTTGATGTTGATGGTGACGATGTTGATTGATGAGGATGGTGATGGTGGTGATGATGACGATGCCGATGACGATGATGACGGTGATGGTGATGACGATGTTGGTGATGGTGATGATGGTGATGTTGGTGATGGTGGTGATGGTGATGATGGTGATGGTGGCGAGCATGAAGATGATGGTGTTGATGATGACGGTGGGGACGATGATGGTGATGATGGTGATGATGGTGATGGTTGGTGATGGTGATGGCAATAGTGATGGTGATGGTGATGGTGATGAGGAGGAGGAGGAGGAGGCGGAGGACGAGGAGGAGGAGGAGGAACAGGATGAGGAAAGATGAGGATGAAGAGGAGCCTCTGAGGAGAAGGTGGAGGATGAGGAAGATGAGCTTTTACCAGGACCCCCTTCCTCCATGCCGAGGCAGGGGTCAAGGTGCCTTGCCGTCGGCACGGACTGACCGCTTCACACTCCCCAGCGGCATCAGGGACGCCGCGGCAGAGGGAGAAGAGAGATGTGTCTCCCACTGTCGCGGGCCGGATCTGTCCGGCCACCTGGCGCTGTAAAACGGAGACTTCCCATGTCCTCGCCCAGCTATGTCGGGTCAGACGATGAAGGGGAACAGGGAAGGGGGGTGGGGTACGACATCTGCTTTGTGCAGCAAGTGTTGGCACCGCCGCCAGGCAATTTTTCTCGATACACGACCGCCTCTGGCGCCCCTCCACCACCCCCCCTTTCGTCCGACCTGGGCATGCTCGCCCTTCCATTGCAGTTGGACATTACCATTCATTGTCCCTAGGGCTTGACCACTCTTCTCCAACCGACTCGCTGGAACAAATCCCGACACACCGATGCAAGTCTATATGCGTCTATGCATATCTAACGAAATCAATTCAATTCTTGACATGCCCAGAAATTATTGGTAACATGAACCTGGCGCCACTTCAATGTTGCGTCTTGTTTCTCCCCGAGCAAGTCGAAAGATTTTTGAGCATCGCAAAGCAGTGCACTGCAAACCAAAGCATTGCTCAGCCTCCTTCGGCATTGCCTAGAATTGCTTAGCATTGCTTGGCAATGCTTGGCATTGCGTAGAACTGTTGCTTGGCATTGCCTGCCGTTGATTGGCATTGATTGCTTGGCATTGCTTGGCTTTGCTTGTCGTTTGCCTGGCGTTGCCTGGCATTGCCTAGCACTGCTTGGCAGCGCTCGTCCTCGCACCGCGGGCCCCCCCCTGGAAACCCCGGGGAAGCCACGGGCAACCCCGAGGAGCGCCAGCGGTGCAGGGCCCCGCACATACAGGGTTCACTGGACAGGCCAGAAAATAAAAGCCACGAGGCAGAGCCAAAGGTCAAGCAGTGGCGAAGCGTCCTGGCTTCCCTATGGGCCCACCAAAGAGTGGTCTAAGAACCGTGTGTGGTTTGCGCGAAGTGGTTTTAGAGAACTGCTGGCTGAAACTGTCTTGTATCAATGCATGGGGTTCATGTTCTAAGATCATTGTCTGTGTTCTTCGATCATGTCGTGGCAGGCCAGAAAAATGCCGGGACGGTCGGTCCCTGTTCAAGTGGGGGATCTGGGAGATCCAGCGCGAGTCGAGGGGCAGGAGCGGTCGTGAATAGCTCTGCACGACTTTTTGGCGAAGAAACACGGCATTGCCATAAACTTTTGGCACTTCGCGCGAATCTCTTGGATCCGCGCGGAGCCGCCCCTGACGGCGCCTCCGGCGCAGATCCAAGAACTCCGCGCGGAGCGCCAAGAGTTTATGTTTATGCCGTTTTTCCTTCTAGTCGGGAAGCCCTGCACGACTTTTTCCTGGTGGTCGCGCACGCAGGACTGTGCCCTGCAGCATTGCGTCCCGAGGGAGCCCACGCGCGCGAGCGGAAAACCATCGGCGATCCAAGTCGGCCTCCGTCCTGGCGCCGCCCCACCGCCATTTGCGTCCTGCCGCCTCCACGCCTGTTTTAGGGGGCGACGCACGCTAGAAGAGAAGCGCTTTTCCGCCGTCGGGGGCGCCTGACCCCAGGCGGCTGGAGAGGTTCCACACCCCTACGTTGCCGCGCAGGGGTGCAAATTTTCCAGCCGCCGGGGGGGCAGGCGTCACCGACGGCGGAAGCGTGTACATGTTGCACTGTGTTTCGCCCGCGAATTGTCAGACTGCAGCCAGAGCTTTGGGCATGGGGTTCATCTTGGTGTCGGGAGGGGCTCCTGTTCCTTGGGTTGAGTCGGGCCTGTCCCTCTAGAAGGGGAGTATCTAAGAATAGTCCAGAAATGAGGGGTGATGACCAGGGGGGGATATCATGGCGAGGGCCATGATATCTCTTCAGATTTCATGGCGCCTCTTCTTAACTCATGACGTCCCTGCCTTCCCCCCCCCGGCGGCGCACATGCCGCCGGCCATGATTTGCGCCCCCCCTCTTGGACGCCCCCTTCTTCCCCGCCCCAGAATGGGGAGCCCGATGGTCTAGGCTTCCCAGATGGGGTTTGGGTACGGTCTGAAGATCAAGGTCGGTTCGGGGAGGGTGCCCTCGTGCGTATTGGATGTTCTTGTGCATCCTGGGGATGGTGCCTGTTTTGGCCGGCGGAGGCATGATATTCTTGAAGGATAATCTTATGTCCTAGGTCCGACTGTAGATGGGGTCGGGGGATCGCGCCGCATCGCCGATGCATCGCTGATGCGGCTATATGTGGAGCCCGATGATCTCACCCTGGCACCGTCGATGCACCGCTGACGTCGCTGATGCATCGACGATGCATCGCCGATGCATCGGCGATGCGGCGAGATCCCCGACCCCATCTACTCCGGCCCCATCCTGGAGGCCTCTAGATGGTGCGGAGGCTGACTCGGACTGGGCCAGGACGAGGATAAATGCGTTCCAGAACGCTATCAGAGCGTTCCGCAACGCCCTGAGAAGGCCGCGGCGCCCGAGACATCCTTCAGAGCCGCCAGATCTCAGAGATTCTCGATTTACCTTCATCCGAATGTATCGTCGTCCTGGCTTCGCCTCACTGAATGAGGCGAGTCGCCGTCCTGCTCGCCCTCAGGCGCCAGGCTTGTAGGAGGACCAAGTCGAGATCACTCGATGACATCCAAACGGGTACGGAAGGAATCGGGACGAAGACCAACAGCAGTTTCTTTCCATCTTGAACATGACTCGCTGTCGGTATAACAAACAGTCAGCTGTCGGTTTGGGACAAGGCTCGATGTCAGAAGTCGGGCAAGTTGCGCGTGCCGCCCGCCTCCAGCACCCCGCCTCCCCAGCTCCCCGCCTCCTTGCTTCGTGTACCCTCAAGTCTCACGCAGGGGTGCAGGCGGGGAGTTTCAATTGGTTCCCCCGCCGAGCACAGCAATCGAGGATGTATCGCCCACGCATGGCCCATAGAGCCACCATTGCCGGGACCCTGCAGTCACTTGCCAAGAGAGCACCCCGGCCAGCGCCGATGCGGGTGCCGGCGCCGTGGGGAGCAGGGCCAGGCAGACCTCGAGGGATGGGATCTATACAGGCCTCCCAGATGGGGTCCGAGTAGATGGTGTCGCAGGGTCTCGCCCCATCGCCGATGCATCGACGATGCGGATCGGTGTGGAGACCAAGTCTTTCCACGCCGATGGCGCCGAGGCATCGGCAACGTCGCCAGCGCATCTCCGATGCATTGCCGATGAGTTTGCGATGCGGCGCAATCCTTCGCCTCCATCTACTCGGACACCATCTCGGAGGCCTCCAACCACCGAGAACCCATCGTGGGGGGGAGGGGGGGGGGGCGACCCTTGGGTGGTGGCTAGGGTTCGGTCCCCCACCGACGGGTTCTTCTGTGCCGGTGGTCCACGCTTCCTCTCTGAGTCGCACGCTGTCAGGCCATCGGGCCAGACTGACAGGGCCACCCGGTCTCACACGTTTGGGTCCGTCGCGGCCGAAGCCGCGGCGGGCGGCGCAGTTCCGAGGTGCGCCCGTGCAAGTCGAATCGAGAGAGACAGCTGCACAAGCACACACTCTCCTGGAGCTCCGCTCAGATCTCTCGGAGCTGCCCCCTGGCGGCGCAGCCCCCTCCCCCGGAGCGCTCTGCGCGTCAGGGGGAGGGGCCCAGCGCTGATCCAAGAAATCCGCGCGGATCTCCGAGAGTTTCTGTTTACGCATGACTGTTCGCGTCTGTACGAAGTTGCGGCGGGCTGCACGGCAGCGAGCTGCGCCTGTGCAGCTGGAAAAGGAGGAGAAGCGGCCACGGAAGAGGGAGTCGCAGAGGAGGAAGAGGTCCCGATACCGCTGCTGAGTGCTGGAGAGCCCTCGTTGTGACGGCTGGAGCACCCGATGAAATCGTGATTGGTTTCTTCTTCGTTGTTCTGCCGATCGCCGCGGGCCCTCGCAGCATCGCACCCCCTCCGACCCTTCAGTCGGACCTGTCCCTCTACAGGAGGAATCTTCAATTATCCCGGCAAAGCAACCTAACAGCGATGTGTATAAGCATATCTGGAAGCATTCCCCTTAAGATTCAGGTGAGAATCCAGTTGTAGAATTCTGCTGTTCTCGCAGTCGCAGCCGCATTCGCAATGACAGTCGCAGTGGCAACGGCCTCAGGATCCAATGGAATCCTAAGGATTCCTAGGGATTCCTAAGGCATCCTTAGGCATCCTTAGGCATCCTTAGGAATCCATAGGGATCCTTAGGAAACCTTAGGAATCCTTAGGAATCCTGATTCCTAGGGATTCCCAGGGATTCCGAAGGATTCCTGAGGAATCCGAAGGATTCCTAAGGATTCCTGGGGATGCTTAACTATGCCTACGGATTCCTAAGGATGCCTACGGATTCCTAAGGATTCCTAGGGATTCCTAAGGATTCCTATGGATTCCTACGGATGCCTCAGCCTGCCTCAGTTTCAGCCTCAGCCTCAGCCTGCCTCGGCTTGCCTCAGCCTCAGCCTCAGCCTGACTCGGCCTCAGCCTCAGCCTGTCGCAGCCTCAGCCTCAGCCTGCCTCGGTCTCAGCCTGCGTCAGCCTCAGCCTCAGCCTGCCTCAGCCTCAGCCTGCCTCAGCCTCAGCCTCAGCCTCAGCCTCAGCCTCAGCCTCAGCCTCAGCCTCAGCCTGCCTCGGCTTGCCTCAGCCTCAGCCTCAGCCTGCCTCGGCTCAGCCTGCCTCGGCCTCAGCCTGCCTCAGCCTCCCCTCCCCCCCACTTCCCCCTCCATTCAGCCTCACCTTGTCTCAGCTTCGGCCTGCCTCGACCTCAGCCTCATCCTCAGCCTCAGTCTCAGCCTGTCTCGGCCTGAGCCTGCCTCGGCCTCAGCCTCAGCCTGCCTCAGCCTCAGCCTGCCTCAGTCTCAGCCTCAGCCTGTCTCAGCCTCAGCCTGCCTCAGCATCAGCCTCAGCCTCAGCCTCAGCCTGCCTCGGCTTGCCTCGGCCTCAGCTTCAGCCTGCCTCGGCCTCAGCCTCAGCCTCAGCCTGTCTCAGCCTCAGCCTCAGCCTGCCTCAGCCTCAGCCTGCATCAGCCTCAGTCTCAGCCTGCCTGAGCCGCAGCTTGCCTTAGCCTCAGCCACAGCCTCAGCCTCAGCCTCAGCCTGCCTCAGCTTCAGCCTCAGCCTCAGCCTGCCTCGGCTTGCCTCAGCCTCAGCCTCAGCCTCAGCCAGCCTCGGCCTCAGCCTGCATTGCGGCCTCACGCACGCGTCTTCTAGCTCGCTCCGCCCTCACCCCCCCCCCATTCACAGCTCTCACCTTGTATCAGCTTCGCGCTCCTCCTACACCCCTGTTACCTGCATCGGCCTCATCCTCAGCCTCAGCCTCAGTCTCAGCCTCAAGCTGTCCGGCTGAGCCTGCCTCGGCTCAGCCCAGCCTGCCTCTAGCCTCTGCCTTCCTCAGTCTCAGTCCTCAGTCTGCCTCAGCCTCAGCGTCAGACTCTCAGCCTCAGCCTGCCTCAAGCCTAAGCCTCATCCTAGCCTGCCTCAGCCGTCTCAGTCTCAGCCTTTCAGCCTCACTCGGCCTCAGCCTGCCTCAGCCTCAGCCTCAGCCTGCCTCGGCCTCAGCCTGCGTCAGCCTCAGCCTCAGCCTGCCTCAGCCTCAGCCTGCGTCAGCCTCAGCCTCAGCCTGCCTCGGCGTGCCTCAGCCTCAGCCTCAGCCTGCCTCGGCCTCAGCCTGCCTATGTCTCAGCCTGCCTCAGCTCGGGCATTCAAAATATGGCACAGGACTGGCGTTCTGGGAACACGAAGATTACGAAGTGGCTTACAGTTGGCTCCGGGCAATCAAAATATGGTACAGGAAGCGTGTTCTTGGAACACGAAGAACACGAAGTGGCCTACAGTTGGCTCCGGGCATTGAAAATGTGGCCTGGGAGCGGTGTTCTGGGAAGACGAAGAACACGAAGTGGCCTACAGGTGGCTCTGGGCATTCAAAATGTGGCCTGGGAAATAATGTTCTGGGAAGACGAAGATCACGAAATGGCCTACAGTTGGCTCCGGGCATTCAAAATGTGGCCTGGGAATGGTGTTCTGGGAGCACGAAGAAGACAAAGTGGCCTACAGTTGGCTCCGGGCATTCAAAATGTGGCCTGGGAATGGTGTTCTGTTGGCTCCGGGCAGTCAAAATGTGGCCTGGGATAAGGTTCTGGGGAGTCCCCGGCATCCCCGGTTTTCCTTGGCATCCCCAGGATGCTTTCTTTTGACTCCACTAGCAACCTATTAGTCTTCCCTGTTAGGTAAAATTATCCCGGCAAAGCAACCTAACAGCGATGTGTAGAAGCATATCTGAAACCATTCCCCTTAAGATTCAGATGAAAATCCAGTTGTAGAATTCTGCTGTTCTCGCAGTCGTAGTCGCATTCGCGATGACAGTCGCAGCGGCAACGGCAGTCGCAGTCACAGCCTCAGCCTCGGCCTGCCTCAGCCTCAGCCTCAGCCTGCCTCAGCCTGCCTTCAGCCTCGGCCTCAGCCTCCGCCTGCCTCAGCCTCAGCCTGCATGAGCCTCAGCCTCAGCCTCAGCCTCAGCCTGCCTCAGCATCAGCCTGCCTCAGTCTCAGCCTCAGCCTGCCTCAGCCTCAGCCTCAGCCTGCTTCAGCCTCAGCATCAGTCTGCCTTCAACCTCGGCCTCAGCCTCCGCCTGCCTCAGCCTCAGCCTGCATGAGCCACAGCCTCAGCCTCAGCATCAGCCTGCCTCGGCATCAGCCTGCTCGGCGCGGCATCAGCCTGCCTCAGCATTCAAAATTGTGGCCCAGGAAAATGTGGCCCAGGGAATGGAGTTTGGGGAAAAAAAAAAAAAAAACTAGAAGAACACCAGACGTGCTACAGTGGCTCCGGGCATTCAAAATCATGCCAGGAATGGAGCTCTGGGAACTTGAAGAGCACGAAGTGGCCTACAGTTGGCTCCGGGCATCCAAAATGTGGCCCGGGAATGGAGTTATGGGAAATCGAAGAGCACGAAGTGGCCTACAGTTGGCTCCGGGCATCCAAAATGTGGCCCGGGAATGGAGTTCTGGGAGCACCAAGAGCGATTTTGCGAGGATGTCCCAAGCGATTTCGGCTTCGACGGCAGCCTCCCCGGGTCCCGCCCAGACCCCCCTGAGGAGTCATGATGCTCTCTTTTGAGACCACTAGAAACCTATCAGCAAGAGCTGTTAGGTAACTAGTCAAAACACAATAATGGGACGGTCTTTGACAATTTTTGAGCATTTGGGTGATTTTGGTTGGCGTATTTTTGATTTTTCGCCCAAAATCCCCCTGTAGGGGGACACGCCCGACCTAATCCGACCCCCATGGACAATCGCATTAAGCAGAGGCCCGGAGCCAGACCCCCCCCCCTCCCCCCCCCTTCCGCCCAACGTCGAAACGCCGAATAGCACGTTCTGGTGGGAACGCGCTCCGGGAGAGGCGCGGGGAGTAGCGGTATCAGTACTTTTTTGCCCCCCAGAGTCGGGGAGAGCGAGGCCCGCTTAGACGGCGTCGCGCTCGCCGCTCTGGCCTCACTTCCCGCCGCTCAGTGCCCCACAGGTCTACATGCGCTCCAACTCGTCCTTCGCCAGCACCGTCAGCAGCGCGTTCAACAGCACCGCGGCGATGTTCGGTGGCCAGCCTCGGTGGAGCTCGGAGCAAGGCTTTGGTGTGCCGGAGGGAGCATCCGCACCCACCACTCGATTCAGGGGAGCATTCGGTTCGCCGCTCTGGCCTCACCTTGTGTCCCGTGGTTCGGAGGCTTGGCATCGCTCGGACGTGGGCATCTCGTCTCGGCGGGGAACTCTGAGGAGCATCTTCGGTCCTCCTCCGAAAAAAAACACACAAAACCAAAAACTGCACGGGGAGTGGACGTCCGAGCGATGGCACGGAGGAGGACCACTGATACTGCTACCCTTCCTTCGTCGCAAACGGCTGGGTGCGCTTTGACATTCTAGTCAGAACGCACCCGGAGGTCGACGAAGTAGCGGTATGGGTACCTTGAGGTTTTCCCAGTGGCGGAGTGGTTGTTTTGCGGACGGGGGCCAGATCATTCCAGTCATTTCGCACCAAACGGGGCACGCGAAAGAAGAGATACGCGATAAACGTCCAGCTCCACTGCAAGGCGGGGGAGTGTGCGCTGGACGCCGCACGTCTGTGCCCCCTGGCTTGGCCCGGGAGGTCTACGCGCCGCTGCTGGGCTCGACTAGACGTAAGCGTGGCCTTTCGCTGGAGTGACCTTCTGTGCGGGCTCAACGGGATCCCCCGGTCGCCGCACGTTTTGCGATGGTGGCGTCTTGCGCGCTGGCGTCAGGTCAGCCCGTGGCCCTCCAAAAATGCCTCGCACCAACGGTCACTCTTGCCCAGGGTCGCTCCATGCGCGTCGCCGATGGGCCCAGGGATCTCCTGGGCCCAGGCTCGGCGAGGTGGTCGGCCGGCGTCCCCCACGTCCGGAGTGGCGCCCGGCCGGTCTTCGCTCGGCGTCGGTGTGGGCAGCGCAGGGTGCCTTTCTGCCGGGCGGCCTCGCGAGGGCGCGGCGGTGGCGACCAGGGGGCAAGGTCGGGAGACTCTCCATGGGATCCCCAGGGGATCCTATGGGATCCCACCCCTGGGATCCTATCCCCCCATGGGATCCCCCCCCAAGAAGAGTCTCCCGACAAGGGCATCGCCTTGGGGCCCCCCTGCCTTCCGCGTGGCAGCGGCGGCATGCGACCGGCTCGTCCAGGACTGTTCGGCTGGCCCGCGCAGATATCGGGCCGCCGCGCGTCGCGAGGGAGCACCCCAGCCGACGGTGCCCGCGCGAGACCGACCCCTCGGCGCGGACAGC